AGACTGGTTTCTTGCTTGTAGAACAATGTAACTACTTTGTATGTTTGAATGATGCATGTTTCTTAATGGAAACTTTGGGGAATGGCAGACTATATTTCTATATACAGAAGTACGTGGAATGATCTTAAATTTATCCAGCCAAATTGCCATGTGTCTTGTACCTTGCATGATGGATGAAGTCTTAAGGAGATTAAAATCTTAGCATTAAATAGTATCTTTAAAAGAATGCAGTAATGAGTGCCATGTTTAACAGGAAATGTGATAATACAGTTGGTTGAAAACCTATCCAAAAGACTCTTTGGAGTTCCTGTTCACAGCCTGCTCTGCTGGACGGGTGTCATATTGTTTTTTGGTTATTGCTGCTTAAAGCACTGTCATAATTCCTTAAACCCTTACTTCTTTTTTGAACATCTCCTTTTGTTTTTTTTTGTCATAACAGTCACAACTTTTTCAAACTTAGGGGTGTTACTTAGCATGAAGGAATAGGGATAATTGGTAGAGGAAACCCAGTACCTAATGGACTTCCTGGTGCTTATGACTGATTTCTGGAGTTCTTAAAATTTGACCACCGAATCTTTTTGTTTTCTGGGACTATGGAAAGGACTAATTTTATGGACTTTTGTCTTCAAAACATGCTTTCCTCTAGCTACCATATTAAATATTGTTAGGGCTCTTTTCGTTATTTAGGACAATAACATAGAAGATAATTAAAATGAATTGACAATTGTTTATGAAACCACCTTGATTCTAAATATAGTTTTTCCTTGCATTTAAGAATTTAAAGCAAATTTTTTCTAGTTGCTTGAGTTGCATTCTGGACATACCAAACATGCTTACTAAAATTATAGTAACATTTTCTACTGTCCTTTGTAAGGACATTGTAAGATGTAATGATACTCTCTTCGGGAATTTATAAAGAACTGCCACATAGAAAGAGACTATTAATAAACAGGCATTTTAGTTAATTTGTTTGATTCTTACATATTCAGGTGATGTTTCTTTGTGATTTTGCATAATATACCAGGGACAGTTTATCTGCCTTTTGTTTAAGGAAGCAGCAGATCTATTTTACTTGTTAAAATCTCTTCCTTAAAAAAATATCACACTGAAAATAAGGCTATTTCCAATTCATGAAATATCACACTCAAATTAGTCCTAAGAATTTGACTTTTTGGAATTACGCCTTTTGTTTTACAGTTTAAAACCTAACAGAATATGTTACAGTGTCTGGGCCTCAGGCATATTTATTGCAGCAGTGAAGGCATTTACTGTGGATTTTTTTGTGGGATCCCCCTTCAGATGTTCTTTTTAAATTTTCTTCTGACTTGCTTATTTTTGTTTGCAACCAGTTGCCCTAGCGTGACATCTAGAATAGTCAATTGCCAAGGCATTCACCTGGCATAGGGGACATGAAATGTTAAGTATCTGTTTTGAGTCAGCCATACATATGTCATGAGGCAGATTTTTCCACCTTCCAGAAAACTTACAAAGCCACTAAGACACTAGCTCCACTATACAGATCTTCAACTCTTTTCAGTCTTCTTTGTTTGAGCTTTTGATTTTTTAAATTAGGAAAAGACCAGAAAAACTTCTCCTGCATAAAAGGGAGTGGAAACAGAAGAGAAGGGTTGGAAATTCTGGAGATAGCCCATATAAGTTTGGATTTGTTGCTCATATTGCTGCAAGGAAGCAATGGCAGCTGCTGGGAGCCACCCCTCCTTTTTTTTCCCCTCTAGCAATAAGTGTTTTCTGGTATCTCCAGTGTAATGTGCTCTAGGCAGCCCTACTTTAGCAGGGGAGTTGGACGACGTGATCTCTAGAGGTCCCTTCCAATTCCGACAGTTCCTGAAAGAGCAGCAGACTTTACTTTCTAGGGATTTACCACAAGCTATGTAGGCAACAGCAAATTTTGCTTATGCCTTTAAACTAGACCTGAATCTCTGAGAATAAATGTACATGATGATGGCTTCCACAGTGGCACCACATGTTTAAAATGCAATCCTTGTTACAGCATTGTAATTAATATGGTTCTCCTTGTTGGCCTGACAATTTAAATGAGTGATATATGCATGGACCACAAGAAGGTTTTACTTGAATTAGCTGTTTCCTATTGATATTCATATATTTACTGAGGCTTTCTTTGATAACTTCAAGCTTTATAGCTACTGCATGGTTCCCTTACAAAATTATGTGTAAATTAATATGAATGCATGCATACATACATATACACATGCATATATGCAAATGTATGTATGCATGTATTTGCATTTCTTCCACAGTCAAAAATATAATATTTTGAGGTATAATAAAAAAATGTATCTTTGAGTCTGCTTTCACAGTCAGAACCTATTTAGTGAATTTGTAATTGCATAGTAAGATCCTGTGGTTATTTGGACAGTATTTATTAGAGCACAAAGAGCAAGGAGCTGACTCTCCCTTGTACCCTGGAGGCTGAAGACATCCGCTTCAGGATTTCCTGTGGTATCAGTTAGTGCAGTGACTGAGAAATGAGATTTTGATTTCAGAAAGCTTAAATCAGGTCTGCAGTAAAATGTGGCATAACACTTTTTGATATCTACCTATTGTGCCCCTGGAAAGTTAACCTTCATTTCTAGCTTCTAAAATTCTAAGGATCTATACTATTTATAATTGTCAGTGGTCATAGTATTTAGTTTAATTTTAAACTTAAACAAAAATGTTAGCATTGCACAGAATTTAGCTCACAGAAATCTTATATTTCAATTTCTACTGTAATAAGCAAATTATTGCCTACCTTCTTTGAATTTGCACGTGAATGTAGGTATATTACAGTTTTTCATCTGTGGTGCTAAAATGCTTCTTCACAGTCAATGAATGAGCAAATGTATTAATACTTTTGTGTTTCTCTGTGAGTATAAATATTATTATAAAAAATAAGATTTCACAAACTGTTGTCAAACTGTATTCTCTCACTCTCTCATCTTTAATAAAGTCTTAATCATTAATGCAGTAGGTTTGTGCTTAGTTCTCAAATATCTTGTAACGTTAATGTAAAGGTCAATTGTATATGAAGAATTGTTTAGTTGCACAATTTGTTGACATTGTTTAAGTAATTCTTCCTATAATGTGCTCTTTTACACCCTGAGTTAATAGAGAGCATCTGTCATTCGTTTAAATGCCAGCCCAGCATTAAACTATAACACCTGTTCTCTTCTAAGATGAAGCTATTTTAAGATGCTGATTTCAAAAACTGTCTTGAGTACTCAGTAACCTGATTGTCAGAGTGCAAAAGATTCGTGGTTTCTTTTGAAACCAAAGCTTGTACTATGAGGTCCCTTCTGAGAATTTTTTCAGTTGTTTTACCACTGTACAGCTGTGAATAACAGAGGTCAGGATCAAAACCACATTGTTTTCATCTGAGTCTTAATATTATAATATTAAAGAACCATTTATCACAGCCTTTTTTTTTTTTTTTTTTCCATTAGATAAGAACATTTTTGCATAAAATACTGTAGTGAATAGAGATAGGATAGGTAGACTGTACTGTCTCTGTACTGTCTAGCTTGACCAGAAAGAAGATTTGGCCTCCCTTTCTTTGTGTAATCCATTGAAATGTGAGGTGTTAGTTCTATCAGCCATTCCCGAAGAAAGCTGATAATCAAAAATGGTTTGGGTTGGAATGGACTTTAAAGATCATCTAGTTCCAATCCCTTTGCCATGAGCAGGGAGACCTCCCACTAGAACAGGTTGTTGAAAGTCCAACCTGGCCTTGAACACTTTTTTCCACAGCTTCCTAGGCAACTTTTGCCAGTGCCCCATCACCCTCATAGTGAAAAATTTCTTCCTAGTGTCTAATAAATCTACACCCTTCCAAGTTAAAACCACTACCCTTTGTCCTGACACTACGTGCCCTTATAAAAAGCTCCCCTCCATCTTTTTTGTAGGCCCCCTTCAGGTACTGGAAAGCTGTTATTAAATCCCCCCAAAGCTTTCTCTTCTCTGGCTGGACAATCCCAGTTTTCTCAGCCTGTCTTCATAGGAGAGGAGCTCCAGCTCTCTGATGATCTTTGTGTCCTTCCTCTGGACTCACTTCACAGTGCTCCTTGTCCTTCTAATGTTGGAGATTCCAGAACTGGACACAGTACTCCATTCACTATTACTAGATTACATGCTATTGTATGGGAAATGAAGACAATGTCTAGTCCCTGCTTTCACCAGCTGCTAATACCACTTAATGCCCAGAGTACACAAGTAATAGAAATGCAAAACTTTTATTAACAGCTTAGAGGTGAAGGCTGAACCACAACCTCACATCCCTCCCATCGCCACCTCCCACTCCTCCTAATAAAGTTAATATCGGATTTAGCACTGTGAGTATGTTAGCTTGGACTTGCTCATGAGATTGTAGCTCATCTAAAAGGAAGTTGCAGGGGTCTCTGCACTGGTGCACTTTTATGTTTCCCATTTCACTGGTTCTAAGAAGATGATCAGATTTCTTTTTAATTAATTGTTCATTGCATTGTAAATCATATGCTCAATCTGTAGAATTAATAAATGGAAGGAAAACTAATGACCAAGTGCATTATTTTTTTTTATTTTTGGTGGGCAAAATAGATAATACAGTAAAAAGAAAGAACTGGGTGTTATTTTGTAGGTTTAGTGAAAATACCACTTTTTTCATATAATAAATTGCTCAAAGTTGCTTCATGCATAAGACCTGTTAGAAACTTTTAACATGGACCAATTGAATTTTCAATGTGCAGACAAAATTTTAACTGAAGCTCCAGGGTTAAATATAACAGGTAGATGTGTTTGATGGTGATTTTAGTTTATGAATTATTTTCAAGTACAAGAGATAATTTTTTTTGTGCATTAAATTGCTCACAAACACTGTGTTCAGCTTTTCCACAATGCCAGTATTATGATTAGTTACTTCAAGGTTGTTTCAGCACCAATATTTAATCGGATTGTTTTTTTCCTTCTTTTTCATACTCTAGGAAGCAGCCACGGAAAGATAGAAGATGAAAGCTCCTATTCCCAACTTGATTCTTTTGTATGCTACTCTAACTCAGAGCTTGAAGGTTGTGACCAAAAGGGGATCAGGTAAGTAAATATTTATGTCTTTGATTATGATGTGGTTTTGAAAGAAGTGCTTAATATTTACAGAAGTATACTAAGGTGTTTTTATGGTGATTTGGAACATAGTTAAAAGGTTTTAAAAGTCTGCAGTAAAAGAAGTTAGCAGCTTCTACATATTTTTAGACTGTTTTCTGTCATGTGAACTTGATGAAAAAACAACGAACTTAACAATAGATATGTAGTGTGAAATCAATGTAACAATTCATCTGCTGAAGAAAAGCTATTCCCTATTCAACTTACTTTAAAAACTGTGTTGCAGTCAGTGTTGTTAATGTGAGCTACTAGATTTATCGGTTTGACTATGTACTTTACGGTGAAGATTCTCTTGGAAATTAAGATTGTTCTGTTTTGGTGTAGGCTACTGGTTTATGTAATGCAATAAATAGATCAAGCACATTAAATTTAATAACCATGAAAAGTGAAAAGGAAAATGTATTTTTGAAAGGCCTACCTGATACATGGTTGAAGAGTTTAATTCAGGAAAGAAAATAGAGGTAGTTTTTCAGAAACCAAGCAGAGGGTGACAGGTTTACCAAACGTCTTTCATAATGTTACTATAGATTAATTACATTCATATGCAAATAAAGGGAACAACAATACTGAGACAGTTGGGTGGTTTTGGGTTCATTTTTTGTCTGTCACCCTGAAATTCTCATTTTCCCCTCTTTCACTTTTCATTGGATAATGGAAAAAAAATACGGAATACTACTTCTGCAAACTATCTTGCTCTGTGGCACTAAAGGATACTTAACCCATAATGGAAATCTTAATCCTATGTTGATGGAATGCATTAATTAGGCTTGTTGTTACTAGTAATTTTCCTTTTGGCAATGGAGTGTTTTAGGTAGTTTTTGTTGTACTGCTTCAGAAGTCTGGCTCTGATTTATTGTTGTATTCTTCTTAAATCCATTGCCAACTGAAGTTGGTTGATTGTTGTAAACTGGTGCTTAGAGAGGACATGTCTTTATACATTTTGGGCAGCATGTTAAATAATATATTGTATTTTCAATGGATTATATTTGTAACAACATTATGAAACTGATTATATCTCCAATATTTTAGTGACTGGAAATGTAGAAGAAGGGAAGGCAAATAAGACATACCACTATAAAGTAAGGTATTCCTCAAACAAGACTGAGATTAAAAAATATTTTTCAACTCAAGAAAACTGGAATACACAGACTGTGTGTAGAGCAAAGTAGTTGATGGGTCAATGCATTTGTAATATGATATTTAAGCCTAGATAGATTTCATAGATATCCTTTGGATGTGTCTGGGTAAAGTTGTTTTGTTTGATTAGGATTTAATACTTGTAAGCTTGAAGTCTTGGCCCCTTAATCCAAAATTGGTATTAACATTATTGATCATATTAAACTAACTTTTACAATTACATTCATTTTTAAAGAACTAAAAAAAAGACAGTCATGTGATACCTGTTACTTGGCTATGAAATAATAAGAGCTTGGGTTGTTTTTGCATTTTATTTAATAATTTTTGCCTGCATCCTCTTCCTGTGATTAACCAATGCAAGGAAAACTGGTAAATATACATTTTAAATTTCTGTTTGGGAAAGTGATATTATTGCTATTGAGCAAAAGAAAGTGTGTACTATACTTTTTAAGATGTACAGAATATGTTCTCACCCTGCTGCTGTAATAAAAAGGAAAAACGGTAATGGGAATCTTTGGCTCATACCTTACTGTAACAAGAGATTCTTGATGTTTTTGCTGCATTTGGTCACGTTGTTTAGTGACCTTAGACTTGAAGAACTTCCACAGAAGTAGGTGGAATGTAATAACATGAATGATAGTGCTTGGTTTGTTTTCTTTGTTGTTTTTTGGTTTGGTTTGGTTTTGTTCAATTTAGTTTTTCCCTTGGGCGCTCAGAAGGCCTACTTTGCAGTCTTGGACTGTTTCTACAAAGAAAACTTTGCTTTAACAGAAGTTTTATCAGAGTAAGGTTCACTTGTCTGTACTGTCAGAGTTTGTTTTTTTTTTTAAACCAATGAAACTTATAATTGGAAGTAGGGGAAAAAAAATCAACTGTGTGAACATAACCAGAGACAGAGGATGGTGAGGACATGGTTTACATTGCTTTATTCAGTTCTATTTGTGACTTCACTCTGTCCTTGAAATATGAGCATTATAGTAAAAAGAGTAGCTCAATAATAGTGTTGGCATATTTTTATACTTATGAATTGTTATAAATATGGAGTATCCATGTTTTAAAGGTGTGTTGCTTTTATGTACTTCCTTTTCTGTTATGAATTAAAGGTATATATCAAAAGAAGTTGTTCCATTAATATGCTAAATAGTTTTCCTAATTCTGAGTTTTTCCTTATAATTCACTTTCGTTGAGCCTGAAACAACAAATCTCTTGTTCTTTATATATATAAACTCCATGTTTGATGTTAAAAAGAGATCTATCTTTGGAAAGAAGTCTTTTTTATATTGTCAGTTGGATCTTTTCCTCTTCTTTTATAAGATTTTTATCAGCTGTGCTAAAAAGATAGTGGTTAATAAAAGTATTAATTTCTCCATCTGGTAGAAATAAATTTCCAGCCACTTCTCTGATCTTTCAAGAACATGAGAACATACCTTTGAAAGCCATTCAGGATGCACAACATGCCAAAAAAGTGGAATATTTTGTAGGCTCAAATTCTGGTTTTATTTTGAAAAATGGAAGACAATTCTGGCCATCTACTGGCCTTCAGGACTGAAGTTATAGAAAATTAATCAAATCTTTATTAGATTAATAGGAAAACATGCTTTGAATTAGCTTGCTCAAAGCTGTGTGACATACCTCTTTAACACTTTCTCTTGTATGTATGATTCTGTTTCTCTCTGACAGTAGATACACTTTTTCTTTTTTTTTTAGTTCATATTTTAGATAATTTCTCTAACACAAGGAACAGGTTCAAATTACTCTTTAACGTACATTTACATACATTTATTTTACTTAAATTTAAAACATGTAATAACTGTGTTTGTTCCTTGAGAATGGCTAGATGAGCAGTTCCAGTAACAATGTCATTAGAAATTCTCAAATAAATTACTTCTTGTGTCCAGGTATGCAAAAAACAAATTAGAATAAAGCACACCTGAACTTTTCCTGTTAATTACATTTGAATGCACTCCTACAAGTTGTAATACCTTCTCAAGCAAGAAAGAAGAGATACTTTGCCTTAAGCTTTGCTGTTCCAACCACTGATTTCAGAGTAGACATAATGGTTGTGAACTGAGAATTTTATTTAACTGCAAGCTTGAACTTCCATTTAGCACATAATGGATATCTGATGTGATCTGCTAAATAGGAAGCTTACTCTTGCACTACTTCTCAGCTTTTTTAAATGTCTCAAAGCATCTCTCTTCATAAAACAATTCCTCTGATCACCATGTCCTGCTTGATGCACAGGAAGAATAAATACTTAAAGCCTATGTGTTTTGAATCATTCAGTACATGGTTTTACAGGAATTTGCTTAAACCTCAAAAGCATAGGAAATAATGCCTGGATTTTAGCATGATCTGGAACTTCAAATAAATGTACAATATTCCTAAAAATTGTGTAGATATACTTTTTGTGAAGTCTACCAAGTGTGTGTTGCTCAGTGCTGTCCTTGATAGGATTTTGATAATGTTATGGTTATGCATTTGTAACTGTTTTCCTTGCAGTGAATTTTTCTTTAAATTATCCTGTTTCATATTTTGAACTAACTGTAGATTTTTTTTTTTAACTACATGGTTTTACATCCTTAGGAACTCAGGCTTCTTAAAGCTTCTTTTCAGATTCAGTGGTATTTGATCACTTCCCTTGTGCTGAATAGAGTTTTTGCTTATGAAATATTTAATATTCATCAAAGAGGAAGTAGGTTAGGAAAAGAAAACCTTGTGCTGATCTGTACAGATCTTTTTCCCTATAACATTTATATTAAATAAAATACTTGAACACTGTATTACTATGTGGTGGTTTCTTCCATGGATGCTGAATATACAAAGGAAATAAAGTTGTTTTGTTAAGAGCCAAATCTGTTAAAAGGAAGAAGAAGCTGAGGGGGAGAGGAGGTGGGGGCATGGGTGCGCAGAAGGGACAGACAAAATATGTATAAAGACTTTATTACATAAAGAATTATGACTTGGTCAATACAATCTGACAGAATTAGAGTAGTGGCATTTTATACACTCACATTGCCTAATAGGAATCTGATGTTGCCTTATGTTATTACTGTTTGTAATTCTGCTTTTCTACAGATTATTATGCTTTATGAGTTAATTAATATTCTGTGTTCTTTTCTGCTATTGTAAGTGTAATTTCTTTTCTAGGTCAAATTTATTTTATGATGGAAAAAGCTAACAGTATTTCTAGTGATAGATTATTAGGATATATATGAGATTCTTCCCATCTTTATGATGAGTTTAAAATCTATAGATGTGTTTTTTCATGTAGCAGAAGATTACTTCTCTTTTTAATGTTTAGCATTTCTGTGCCTGAGCTATTATGAATGAATAAGGGTGGTTGTAGTTGTACTTCTGTGGAAGATGACCATTATGAGAAAAGCAAGTATCAACATTGATATTTCTGAATTGTTTTTTTTTAGAATAAAAATCTGAATTGTAACTAGATAAAAATAATGCAAGTTTTTTTTTGTTTGTTTGTTGTTTTTTTTTTTGTTCTAAAATAAGTGGCATTCTGAGAAACAGATTAGAAATACAAACTAAAAATCTCAAGCAGTTATTCTGTTTGACAGACACCATTCTCTGTAAGAATTATATGCAGACATTTTTTTAATTATGGCCCTCTGAATTTTTTATGAATTATTTATCATGTAGCTTTTAGAGAATAATATCATATACAAAAAGGATATATCTGCACAAACAAGACAGTTTTACTTTTTCAGAGAAGTTTAACTGGAAAAGGAACATGTGATCTCTGCAATGTAGGCCTTAACATCAACAAATCCAAGATT